ACACAGAAGCTATATCAGCTTTTGTTTCTCAATGGAGGATTCAGTTTAAGCATCGTCTTCACCGAGAAGTGCGACGAGCATCTTCTCGTAATCACCACGTGTGTCTTTGGTGATGGCTTTCTCCAAGGGAATGCTGTTCCTTCGCTGATACTCTTCCCCTATGACTTTCAAGTCAATCTCAGCTCTTGTGGTCACCACTCTAGTTAAAGCTCCTTCGTCTGTTCCAGTTTTGTTGATCGCTGAACGAAGAACTTCAACAAAGTAAAGCTCTGGTCTTGTCAAACACTGAATCGTAGACCTCAACAATGCAAGGAACTTGTCATCATCATCGCCTTCCTCAAGGCTCTGTAAGACGAAAACAAAACACATTAGCGATTTTATAAAACCAAGAAGCTTAGATTCTTAAAAGTTGAAATCTTTTGCTTTCACCTTGAGGATTTCCTCGCCATGTTCATCTTGGTAGCGATTGAAAGTAGCATTGATCTGTGCCTTGCTCCTTGTCGATAAAATCCTAATAACATCCTCATTATTGTATTCCTTGTCCTTGATTTTCTCATGGATCAGCTTAGCCTCTTGCTTTGCCAATGTCATATTCACCTCGTCCCCTTCGTACCTGTATGCGCTAACAAGAGGAACCAAAAGCTGCAAAAGAAACACAACACAATGAGTGTTTCAACACAAGAACATATGCTTGCATTGTCAGTAATAAAAACCAAATCACAAAGATTGAATATTACCTTCCTGAAGTCACCAGTGGTGTGATGAGCAACGTCCTCTTCAAGGGACTTCTTGTAACGAGCATGGTAAGCTTGCCTAGCATGAAGTAGCTGAGCTGAGTTCCTTGTGCAGGCTACTTCCATAAGCACTTGGTTGCTGGAAGTCCATCTTTTGGTGGCTTCATTAGCCAACAAGGCATCACGCTCGCCGGGTTCAAGAGTCCAGAGCAGGATTGATCTCTGTCCATCCATGAGTAAAAAAAACATATTATTAGGATACAAACACAACATCAACAAGACTTTACACCGATTCCTCATCGAAAAAACCGTACCTCAAAGTCGTTAGAGAGTTCCTTGTCAAGAGTCTTGAGAAGGTCTTCTCCATGGGTTTCATGGTAAGCTTGCCTGATCAGCTTCCTCTGCTCAGCACTCCTGTGAGCCAAGATTGATATGATCAAGTCCTCGTTGGTTCCCCATCCTGCGAGAAAAAAACACGAATCAGATTTACAATATTCAAATGTTGGATCCAAGAATCAGATCAACAAAAATGAATCAAAGCGATTCAGAAGTATATGATAATCTGAAGATCTGAGTATTACATATATTACAGATCTAGATTAAGAAGACAGATCTGCGACTTTGAGAATCAAACAATCAAACCAAAGATCTCGTAAATGAATCAAAGTCAGTAAACATGATCAGACAATCAAAAGATCAGTTCTGATCATAGAAAGAAGAACAAAAAAGCCATTAGTACAAAAACCAAATCTTCCAGATCCAACAAAGAAACAAGATCACTGACACAGATCGTCGATCGATCTGCATCAACACCAGCAAAACAGAGGATCATGATTCATAACACCACCGACACAACATGGATCCGACCGTCGAAACACTAAACTCGAAAACCATCAAACAGATGAACAAACAATTACAGATCAAATGAAACCTTAAGTGAACACTGATCGGGTTACTACACATAGAGATGAAGAAAGAAAGAAAGAAGCAGAGTTAGTAGTACCTTCGAAGGCGGTTCGCAATTGATCAGCGTCTTCAAGAGGAGAAGGAACAGAAGAAGAAACCTTAAGAGTCGCCATTTTTGTTTGGTCTGGTCAGGTCAGTGTATTGTATGTTGAGAGTCGAAGACGATGATGCATGATTGATTTATATAAAGAGAAAATCCTTTTAAGGGTAAAAGGGGACACGACGAGGCCTGTCCGTATATACTAAAATATCTCTCTCAATTATACTCCTTTTTTGCCACGTGTTTCTCGC